ATTGGTCAGTAGCATCATTTTCCCAATTATCCAAATTGATTGATTATAAAGGCTAGGGCCACTTTATTGAATCATTAGAACGCGTGTTTGATTTATTCTCTGCTTTTTAACGATCTATCCATAGAATATTTTTTCAGGTATCATCATGATCAAATGACCAGTTCAAGCTTGTGTTTATGGATTTGTTTCAATGCTGGGTATATTAGCGAGTTCCCAAATACCCGGTGGAGTAATGGATAGCGGTTTGGATTGAGGAATCGGAGAGCCGAGTTCGAATTCCATTTGATTCCATTACATTCACTTACGTGCTAATACCTTTGGGAAAGGTATGAATCCTCTTCTTCTCTCCCCAGCTATGGGTAAATAGCAGTACAGGCTGGGTTCTATAGCCTTGGATGGCAACTGGTCAAGGAGAAGGACAACTCTGAATTCAAAATTTGCGGAGGGTCGTTTGGGGACCTTGTGGCAAGTATTGCACCAGGTCTCTGTATTCGGCCCTTCAAAAAGTGTGGTTGGTTCTGCACAAAACCATCACCACTATAATCAAATATGTGCCGGGGTTGGGCTCTCGGTTACTAGGAACTGAGTTGCTTGTCACATACGTCGAATTCGACGGGAGAGTCGAGAGAATATATATCTATCTATCTATCTATCTATATATATATATATATATATATATATATATATATATATATATTTGTGTGTATTGAATTTTTTAATCCATCCTTATTTTAAATTATCAACGTTATTTTAATGGGTATACTTAGAATCGAGCGAAAAAATACATTCTCGCACATATAATGTAAAAAAAGGCGATTAGGATATTTGATACACACATGGCGTATTGACGGCAAGAGACAGAAACCCCGGGTGGCCTACCTGAGGAGCTTGTGTACCTGAGTGAGAAAATAAGGAGTGAGAGGGATAGTAAAACGACAAACATTTTAAGAGCTACAAAGAATAGGAAGTGGTGGAGAGCTATGACCACTATGTCTATGGCGTCGATAACCTCTACCCTATGCACACATTCATAGAGGTCAAATCTACCCACTTCAAAATTCTGAAAACTATACAAAGTACTGCGGACACTGGAAGAAAGACGTTATGAGTACAAGCAAGATATGCATGCTCGTTCGTCTAGAAAGGTATGTCAAAAATTTCCATCTAAATTTCTTAGCTGCTTCTTGCAGAGGAGGAATGCATTACAAGGTAGTTCCAGGATTTCCACATTCGTCAAATAGCAATACAGTACAATCTGTAGACAAGATGTCTGAAAAACTCGGCTGGCGCTTGTTTGATTATAAATAAAACGTGTGTGAATTGTGGTGTAATTTAAATCAGAACAAAGTTACAATAAAAAAAATTGCTTCACTGGTTACTTTGTCACTCTTTATTATCTGAAGTTATTTTCTGCTTTCAGTCAATTTGGTCTAGAAATTCTAATCTGAATTTTCGTTAGTATTAATAATACAATTTGCTGATTCGTTTTAATAATTATCAGACTAACACGTATAACCCATAAAGTAAATTTTAGTGGACAGGGCTTATAATGTTTGCTAAGTATTAAACGGTAAACTAAATGTATATTTATTAGTAGTGCATTTATTTATTCATATAGTAATGATACAATAAGGTAATCCGTATCATTACAACCATAACTTTTCCTTGGTACATTGATATCCTGCTAAATATAAGTAAAGACGTCTAGGATATAAAAGTTCAGCACTCTAGGTATATAACCTTTATAATTATGTTTCTCTGCATATAATTAATAATCATTTAATTCAAATCTCTCAGGTATTTTAATTTAAATTTCGCTTGGTTAATTATATAAAAGCTTATGAAAATTTTTTCGCTAGTTTCGAATTTTTTAAAAATGTTCACTTTTAATATTATTTATAAATAATTTGTTGAAGGAAAAATATCAGCATTGGAATTTTGGCCGTTGACAGAACCAGACATGATTGTTTCAAATTCACACTGACATACTTAAGGTTAAATCTGAGGACAGTACATCAAAATAGGTCAACATTCTGTCTTTTCCCACTCTCTAAATAAGATAAAAATATCTCTTATTGTTAACACGGAGTATTTTTCCCCATTTCATCTGTTATTTGTTTGTAAGTCTTGAAGATTGGGAGCTGCTTTTTTTATATATAGAGCTCTCATGAAATAATTATTTACTATGGGATTTTAAGTGTTTGATATTCTTTAATGAATACACACACACACACACACATACATACATACATATATGCACAAAAGACAATTTTATTCATATATTAAGGACTGCACCGGACTAAAGTCATGAAGTCCCAAATTGCAAAACCTGTTGCACAAAAGATTTTTTCCACTGTCATAACTCTCTCTCTCTCTCTCTCTCTCTCTCTCTCTCTGATATATTCATTTGAAATAGTTTAATGGCGTAAGAATGCGTGCTGGAATGTTCTCGATCCGTTTAAGAATCCCCTTTAGTAAGAACTTTTTAACCAGGCCGCGACTCTCACCCATCTAGGTATTGACCCTGCTCGACTTTGCTTAACTTCAGGGATCTTACGGGAACCTGTGTTTCGACGTGATATGGCAGCTTCTACAAGTGATACCACACATACATATTGCATCAGTATTAAAGTGTCCTGAAATACGCGAAATTTTATGCTTCGTAAAAAAAAAAGATTTTAGTTCTTGTGAAAATAAATCTTTATTGAAGCTTAGATTCTTCATAAAACACACGGTTAATTTTGAAAAGCGTTAAGCTTTTCAAGTAATGAAGTTAGTTCATGACCCATTACGATATCAGTATGTCAAAATTAGATAATTCGATAGGTAAAACAAGTAAATCGCCTTGCACTTCCCTCAAATAATATTCACCATCTTAAATACATGAGTTAAAAAAAATAATAAAAGGAAAAATTCCAATGCGTCCGCTCCCGTCTTAATTGTGATCGGAGATCTCTAAACGTATTGTATTTGGCATCTTACGCAAGAAAATATTCTGTAGCCATCGGTACCGGTTGACCTTTCTTGGCTACTTTCCCCAGTTATTGGTTCCAAGTTCGCCGTCGGGTCCCGTAACGCCGGTATATTTTCGCTCATTTTTTTGTTTGGTTCAAAGCCTACCGAAAAGCCTAAAGTTTCGGTTGCTCTATTCGCAATACCTCGTTCAATTGGCAACTCTACTTCCTGATATGTCTTTCGTTCGACAGACATTGCGTCTTCGGATCTGACCTGGCGGTCATCTTGAGCACTAATATTTTCCGGTTTTGTAGACAAAATGTCTGATGGATCAGGTTTAGAGTAGTTTAAGCATAAATAATACATATCTCCCAAGTAATTTATGGCAGACCAAAGGCACAATAAAACAATGCTACTGCGGCGAATTTGGGAATTTTTATTAATCAGAATTTTGTTCTTGTCATTAGCACATTGTAGAGAGACATGATTGCCAACATCCTGGAGCGATACGGCACATAAAAGAAGACATTATGCGTCTTGGGAAAATCTTTGATTTTTCAATTGTTTACAATGCTATTCTAAAACGCTTTAATGTTTTCTGTGTCAATTTCTTTTTATTAAACTTCATTCGATACAAGATTCTAAATAAAGTCCAGATAAAAGTTAAAGTAAACAAACAGTGATGGTGAATGAAGTGTTATTTGAATGGAAAACGGGATAAGTAAAAATATACAAGTTACATTCCATCACCACCACCCCCGTTCAGATCCCAAACTACCTCCAGCCACGATGAAGGAATGTCCCCTCGAGGATACACTGTGGCTTGAGAATATTGGGCCTCCAAATCATACCCAGCCCCAAGTTGAACTCTTGAATACAATCCATCTTTAAAGATATAGGCAAAATGATCGGCTCTCTGTACTGCTCCAGTAAGTACCTGGCTTCTCATGCTATCCTTTACTTTAAAAAAAAAGGTCTAAAATGGTGTACTGTTGCCATATTGGGGCGGGAGCTGCCCAGTTCTCACTTTCCAGTCTTGATAGAGTTCAAAAGCTCCACCGAGTCCTTATTGGAGAAGAATCATTTTCCACCTTTCAACCGTCTTCCCTCTCACAAGAAGGATGTGGCAAGCCTCTTACTGTTCTATTGCTACTAACATTGAAAGTGCTCGGACGAACTACATCCTTTGGTTCCGCGAGGTATAACTTTCATGGCTAAGACCCGCAATGCCACTTAAATAGGAAAAAAAACATTTCCTCTATATTCCATCAGTGAGAAGCAAGTTCCACTCGAACAGATTCTTTCCGCAAGCCACTGACCTGTGAAAGAGACTCCCAAGATGATGTTTACCCGATCACTACAATCTAAATCTGTTCAATTGTAGAGTCAACCGTTATCTTCCCCTCCTATCCATATAAACTACCTCTTAACGTAACCCTCTCCCTCGAGTAACTCCCGGGCCTTGTGAAACTTACTGCAAAAACATTGCGCAGAGGAAAGATGTGAGCCGGTGGGAAAAAAAACTGGAGAGCTCAAGCGAACATTCGCCATGTAAATAGCGATAGACTTGCAATATAAGCGCCTGTGGAAAAGAGGCTGTAGAATGGAAAAGCAGTCACCACCCTCAAGACCACGTAAGCCATTTTGAACTGTAGACTGGTTAGTGAGGATTTAACTGCCCCTGTCCAGATATAACAGCTATACTCCATGTTTGGTTTAATATTACAAAGATAAAACTTAGCAAGAGAAGCCAGGTACTTCCTGGATCGGTACACCTCGTTGAAACACCGGTTCACTGAAGCTAACCAACGTCGAGCCTAGTCATTTCATAGATGAGTCACTGTATGGAAATGCACGTGCTTGTAAGCCTGGGTGTGAAAATAATGGCTCGGAATTGTTAACCGGAGAGCCGTGTTACAATTCCTGTTGAGTTCACTTGCCCCGCTGGGTTGGTTATCTTCACTTGCCCCGCTGGGTTGGTTATCTTCACTTGCCCCGCTGGGTTGGTTATCTTCACTTTGCTGGGTTGGTTATCTTCACTTGTTATGGTTTATCTTCACTTGCCCCGCTGGGTTGGTTATCTTCACTTGCCCGCTGGGTTATCTTATGAAGGTTGGTTATCCTTGCCCCGCTGGGTTGGTTATCTTCACTTGCCCCGCTGGGTTGGTTATCTTTGGGTTGGTTATCTTCACTTGCCCGCTGGTTGGCTTGGGTTGGTTTATCTTCACTTGCCCCGCTGGTTGGTTATCTTCACTTGCCCCGCTGGGTTGGTTATCTTCACTTGCCCCTGGGTTGGCTGCTGGTTGGTTATCTTCACTTGCCCCGCTGGGTTGGTTATCTTCACTTGCCCCGCTGGGTTGGTTATCTTCACTTGCCCCGCTGGGTTGGTTATCTTCACTTGCCCCGCTGGGTTGGTTATCTTCACTTGCCCCGCTGGGTTGGTTATCTTCACTTGCCCGCCGCTGGTTGGTTATCTTCACTTGCCCCGCTGGGTTGGTTATCTTCACTTGCCCTGGTTATCTTCTGGGTTGGTTATCTTCACTTGCCCCGCTGGGTTGGTTATCTTCACTTGCCCCGCTGGGTTGGTTATCTTCAGGTTGGTTATCTTCGCCCCGCTGGTTGGTTATCTTCACTTGCCCCGCTTTATCTTCTTGGTTGGTTATCTTCACTTGCCCTGCTGGTTGGTTATCTTCACTTGCCCCGCTGGTTGGTTATCTTCACTTGCCCCGCTGGGTTGGTTATCTTCACTTGCCCCGCTGGGTTGGTTATCTTCACTTGCCCCGCTGGGTTGGTTATCTTCACTTACATTGGGTAAGGTATGAACCCACCTTATGTCAATAAATCATTATCTCCCCACAAAAATTCTGGCTTTAAGTAACCTTCAAAGGGTTGATAAGCTATAGAAAACGAATCGATCATCATTGTGCGATAGAATGAGTCGGCCATTTTCTTCCAGCATCTTTTGAGGATATATTGAATATAAGAGTGCTACTTTGAAGTCTGGCGTAAATTTGAGACCCAATTCAAGGAGTCTCATTGTGAGTGAAATCTTCGGAGGATGGGGGAACATGCAATATCTGATCGATGATAATAAATCGATACTAGCTTGATTCCTGAGGTATGTAATGTTGCAACCCAATTATTGCCCCTTAGGTTAAAAGGAGAGATCTGCTACAAGACGTTGATCATCTTGGTCTTTGGAAGTGGATATGCAAAAATGGTATCACGTGCATATTTCCGAATGATTTGAATATGTTCCTATATAGGATGTTAAAGAAAACAAAATGTTCGTTGAGATGAAATATTTCTTTTTAATTTTTTTTTTATTGCATCATCTCTCTTTATTTTTATTCCGTGTCTAAATTATAGTCAAACATTGAGGACCTGTTAATGCCTGTGGTTACCCAGAGTAGTTCTTTGTAATAACAAATCTTTATTTTTATAGTCTTATTTTCGGATATAATAATTTTTGAATCACATCGATATAGAATGTTTTTCAACAACGTAGTTCCTTTCCTCCAGCTTAATAATTTATCGATCTTAGAATAAATGCATTTGCCACCAGTAGCATTCGTAAAATAATGAAGAGTTATCTTCCTTCCCGTTGGGAATTATTTTGTAGCCGTAAAAAGTAATTATCATGTGTTGGCTACATCTTTTTCTAGTTTATATAATCGATAAGCTCTTTACTTCCCTTTACAGCGGGTTATTTGGCCACTATTTGATTATAAATCACACTTTTTTTTCCTGGCGTCTTATAAAGTATGATTATGTACTTACGAAAATCGTGAAAATAGGCTAAAAGAATGTTTTCATTAATGACTGCAGCATTCAAGGGACCTGGAGGCACGTTGTTCTCTACGTAACACTCTGAACAACAAATAATTAAAACTTTCGAGAACTGTTTTGATATAAATTGTGAGCTTTAGGCCGCTCAATATGATGATTAAATTATGCGTACTAATACAAACATTCAAACGGCGAAAAGGAATTATCAAATCTTCTCCGGTGTTAACTTTCAACACGAAACCTATCTAGCATTGTTCAATACTCACCTTGCACTATGTCCGCATATCGAATGTGGGGGGGGGTAGGAAGATACGTTTAACAATCTAGTCATTTTTTTTCACGAGCCGTGTCCCTTCGGGACGTGGATGATCATAGCTCTCCACAACTTGCCGCCTTTTGTATCTCTGAATAAGGTTTCTCTTTTTGATACCCCTCCTAGTTCCTGTTCTACTAACAAACTTCAGAAGCTTGTTAGGTAGGTTATTTGTTGTTTTTTTTTATCCCTTATTTGTGAGTGTCAAATACTCCAAACACTTTTCCTCGTTATGTAACCCCAGAAATTTAAATTCTTTCTGGTTCTAAATATCTTTTTTTTTCTATTTTTCTTTTTCTTTTTTCTTTTTTTTTTTTTTTTTTTTTTTTTTTTTTTCTTTTTTTTCCTTTTTTCTTTTTTCCTTTTTTTTTCTTTTTTTTTTTTTTTTTTTTTCCTTTTTTTTCTTTTTTTTTTTTTTCCTTTTTTTCTTTTTTTTTCCTTTTTTTTCCTTTTTTCCTTTTTTTTTCCCCTTTTTTTTCCTTTTTTTTTTCCTTTTTTTTTTTTCTTTTTTTTTGTTTCCATTTTTACTCAAAACTTAGTAGTTTCTCATATAATCAGTCCATGGTATTCTTAGTATCCTTCTGTAGAACTGTAGCCCTGTTACTTCAACTTTTTTCTTCATCTGTGGGAAGATCGTTCAACATTCACAGCCATATAAGAAGATTGGTATTATATAGTGTTGTAATGGATTGTTCCACTCTCCGAATTACCAACAGTGGACTGATTATATCGGTATTATATGTAGGACATAACAAAGACCTATCTGTCTGTCTGACTGGCTTCGGAAAGAGTCGACTCCCTGTCTTTCAGTAGTGTATTCTCTTTTACAATAAACCTCTCTTTCTTCCATCTACACCTATGTGACTGTTCCTTCCACTAGAGTACTCCATTTGTCTGTTTGTAACCTTTTTAAGGATGCAACATATAGTAGTTCAATCTTTTCTTTGCTTCTAACGAAATTTTCCTTTTTTTATTACTTTGTTTAGCTTTTGGAAAGCATCTTTCACTATTCCACTGTGCTTTCCGATTTCTGGTTCACATAGGAAAAATGGTGTGCCATCTCCTTTCAAGACTTCGATGGGCATGGTTTTCCCTAATTTGCTATAACATGAGAAATCTATTTGAAAATACTGAAATCATCAACATAATTTCCTACGTTAAAAAAATGTGCTTATACCAAACCATAACACCTACAACAGATCATCTACAAACGATATATCTATAAAGCATGCGTTTGCCCTGGAAATATAACATTACGTACAAGATATCTGTAGATGCAGACATGATATTGCGTTCAAGATATAAGTAGTTGGAGCCATAAAATTGTGTAAAAAAAATATTTAGATTTTGGCATTGAATTTGATACGCCGCTAAACAAAAACAACCAACCAACTTAAATTCATATCTCTATCTATAAAAGGCTGTGTGTGTGTGTGTGTGTGTGTGTAACGAATGTACGGCCGCAATTTTCGACGGATTTTCACCAAAATTTATATACACATGCTCCAAGTCAGCGGGAAGGCCAAGACCGACTTTGCATTTCCCAACTCCCATCGATAGTGGAAATAATCAATTTTTCATGCTTCTACAGCACTTTTCATGTAGTTTGCGGCCATTTTCTACTGGCCACAGTGAGAGCCAACAGCTGACTGACACGAATGTTAACTAGCATGCAAAAAAATCGATAGCTGCATTCGTCACAAGTGAGGAAAAATTTAAATCTGCATGGCACTTTACTCCAATTGGCTCATTCGCTTGCTTAAACTCAACGTTGATTCTGATTCCGCAGAACTGGGTTAGGTGTGAAAAAGTATTTGTTGTTAACATTCTTTTTTCATTCGGTTTTTCCAGTTACGAGTTCTTTTTTAAAGCTGATCGTTTTGTGTTCATTTTGTTTAGTTCTTTTTTCGTAACAGATTTAATGTTTAGTATAGAGCTTAGAAAAAATTCGCAGTGTGAGATAGACAAGAAGTAAGGCATGTAGCAACATCAGCACGGCAAAGGGCTCCCTTTAAAGGCAAGGAAGGGCCAAAATATTTTAAGTCAAGTGATAGTGATTGCTGTATGAGTCGTACGGTTTTTGAATCAAGCACGGGCAACGCCGGGCCATGCTGCTAGTGTTAAAATATTTATTACATTTTTGAAAATATACTATTTAAAACTTTCAAAATTGCTTACCTCACTTTATACCTTGATTATTTTCCTTTTCTCCAAAGCTGTGATGTAAATGCTAGAGTCGTTACCACTTTCACGTAAGAAAACGGTTTTATTTGAATAGCATGTAGCAACATCAGCATGGCAAAGGGCACTCCTTTAAAGGCAAGAAAGGGCAAAATTATTTTAAGTCAGGTGATAGTGATTGTTGTATGAGTCGTACGATTTTTGAATCAAGCACGGGCAACGCCGGGCCATGCTGCTAGTCATTTATAACTCTTAACAATGTTATTTTTTCTTTTTAACATCCGTCCCACTCTACATTCTTCTAGTCATTCAGGATAAGCTCATTAGGTAGGTAGTTTATTGCCTACCTCGTATCCGTTTTATCTCCAATATTTCCTGTGAGAGTTAAATTATTCAGGCCCGCCGTCATCGTTATATGTCCCAGAAATTTCAACTCTCTTCCTAATGTTAAGTATAAGCGTCATTTCTGCTTCCACGTTCCTTAAAACTTCATCGTTGCTCACATGTTCAGTCCATGTTATTCTCAGCATCCTTCTCTAGAGCCACAACTCTATTACCAAAATTCTCTTCATCTGTAAAGAAATTCACTGCTATATAGGAACACTAAGATTACATAACGGTTCAGCAGCCATGATGTCTAAGTATGAGGAAATATATGAAAGTTGTCAAACGTAAAAATAGTAATAGAATGATAAAGTAACGCCAGGTATTAATAATTATTTAAGTAAACAAAAAGGTCTGAAATAATGTAAACACACAAAGAAATGAAACTATTGGTGATAATCAATGTTAGCTTTTATTGGAATATTTTTGATGAGGAATTGTGTTTTGCTATTCGGTCTAGCATGTTTATCTTGCTTGGTAATTTCGACTGTTGTAAGGTTTCGAATTTCGAAGCGAACACTTTATTCAGTTCAAGTGTGTAAACTGTTCTCATACTGTTTTATTTTTAAAGGATAGTTCCTATCCAGTAATGCTAACCAGTTTTAATCACTTTTGTGTCGGTTGTGTATTTCTTTCATTGAAGAAAAATGTATGTATTTTCAGCAGGAACTTATCAAGAAATTGAACTTAAAATTGCCCCAAACCCCGATATATTAGTTTGTTTGTTTTTTTTTTTGTTGGTTTTTGTTTCTTTTGTTCTGTTTTTGATTTTGGTTTTGGTTTTTTTTTTTTTTTTTTTTTTTTTTTTTTTTTTTTTGGCGGCTGTGATTTCTTTTTGGTTTTTTTTTTTTTTTATTTTTGGTTTTTTTTTTTTATTATTTGTTTTTTTTGGTTTTTGATCTTTTTGTTTTTTTTGTTTTGTTTTTTGGGGTTTTTTTTGCATGTTTTTTGTTTAGTCTTTTTCGTTTTTGCTTTCTTTTTTCAACTTTTGGTAGAGTTGCTTTTTTGGAGTTTGCTTGTCTTTTTTTTTTTTTTGCTTTTTTCTCTTTTTTTCTTTTTCTCTACTTTTTTTTTTACTTTTGTCTCTACTTTACTTTTTTTCTCTACTTTTTCTCTACTTTTTTTTCTCTTCTTTCCTTGTTTCGTTATTTTTAGTCGAGGTAATGCACTGGGCAACGTGTCTTCTGCTCAATCTATTTCCAACGTGAAAACCTTGCTAGTTTGACCTAAATGTTGTAGGGACCTTGTTTTTATAATGACGTAAAATGCAACTGAGATTTTGTGTCTGGATTTTATCGCCTCTTTTAACAGAAATGAACACGCTATGTGGGTAGTATAATGATATTGGCAAACCAAATTCAAATCTTTGGTTAGTCTGTCGTTTACTTTCGCACAAATGGCATTATTAGCTGTTTCCTTTAATCTTAAAACAATTTTTCCAAAAAAATACTTTTCTCAAATCCAGTAGAAGTTATCGCTTTTTCCAGTATTTATGCGGATTTCCTTCCTAACAGTTTTTTTTTCAAGTATTGTGGAATGTCAATCTTGATTATGTCATTATTTTCACTTCAAGTTAAATGTTATAACCATTTAAGTTGTTGCTGCTGTTGAAAGTCTTCAAGTGACGTGATGTGATTCTCGAACACAATCAACATGGTTCGGAGAAGAGTGGTCTTCACAAATATCCACAGGTTCCACTTTCTCAAAGCTATTTTTAACCATTGATCTTAGAAAGCCGTTGTTTACAACTGACAGTTTAGCTATTTATGAACAGGTTTGGCGCCGTGCATGTCATATTGACCTCGATTTGAAAAGGACAGTAATCGTGTTTTCCGGTTAATGTTTTGTAGCAATATGTGATGTTTAGCAGCCTATTCTACATTCAAATACCTATGGGGAAAGTATTCATCCGTCTCTTCTATCTCCACCTTTGTGTTAAATATCAGAATAAACTTGGTTCTCTAGCAGTGGAAAAAGAGGATTCTGAATTCCATGGAGAAAGAAACGGGAAACTACTCTATTACCATTCCAAAGAATAGATGGTAATTCAAAGGAAATAAAGGATAATTAGAAGTGGGGAGTCATGACATTTTGAAATTAAATTTTGATATTTTCAAAGAACACGTTACCACTTTGTCGCAGCATCTATTTTAACAATATAACACCTCAAAGGTGCTGTGGTTGTTGTTTAACGTCTTTTTTTTTTTTGTTATTCAGTCCTTAAATTGACGGACATTTTTCTATCTTTGCTGCTGCTACCAGACCGTGTTGATTCAAGGCTCTATGGGGGGTGCTTTCTCTGTGCAGGGTTCAAGAGACTGATTCAATGTCCATTTCTATACACGCACATACGCTTCACCTACAGGACTTTTGGCATCAACCCTACCCCAATTATAAGAACGCTATCGCCGCCCCATCCTGGCCGACATAACAAAGGAACAAAATTACTGATCGTTCACATTTTGAGATAACATTAAGCTCAAAATGTTTTATCCCTTTTGATTTATTGAAATCAAAGTCTTTTATGATTTACTGGTGAATGCGTGTTTGAATTTTATATTAGACTAACTGTTTATCTCGCTGGTGATTTCTGAAACAAATACGTCAATTTCCATTCACTAGAATAATGATTTATACAAGTTGGGTTAAAGACCAAGAATAGTTCTTTGTTAAGAATGTTCCTATATTTTCAATGATTTTTCTGGTTGAATGTGACACCGAAATAGGAAATGGCATTGGAATAGTGAAAGACACCTTCCGAATATTAAGCAAAATATTAAGAAACTGGCTAATTTCCTTAGAAACAAAGAAAAGAGTGCTAAACCTAAGTGTAATATCAGTCCTCTTGCATGGCAGTAAATGCTGTACACTTTCCTCGCAGATGAAAAGTTATCGATAAACTGTCACTAAGCCACTAAATCTAAAATGTTATTAGTGTTGGGTTGTTTTTTCGTGCTTAAAGAATTTGTAGTACTTTATATACGCCGGATAAAATGAAATAATTATCCCCAAGTTAGTACTTTTTATCAAATACACTTCGTTTTCATATGAAGGGACGCATTTTCTTTTCTAAACAGCAACAGAAATATTTTTATTCTAAGTTATTATTGATAATTTTGATGGCGACATTTTAATCAGCGATTTCCTGAGTTGTTCTTCCAGCTCTATGTCGCATCTTTCAATATTCAAGGTGATTAGAATTTAATTCTTCGTTGTCTGGAGTAGATGAAGAATTCTGTTCGAAGACTGAAGTTTGCTGCGTACATTAAATATGACCGGAGAATGAATCGGCTGAAATGTAACGGTCCAAACACTCCATCCCATTAGGGAAATCATGGTTCTTTTCAAGGAATACACAGACTCACCCTCTCGAAAATCTCCTCCCGAATCCAGCGGCAATTTGTGGCCCAGGATGATGGGTAGATGATCAGTTGTACTAATCACGCTTCATGTATTCATGTTTGAATACCGTTTTCCTTCTCTTTGCTTGGCGTCCTGGGTATGGCGATAAACTACATCCGCGTCCTGGGTACGATAAACTACGTCCAACAGCAATGTTTTTGAAAAAATAATGTCACCAGCTATACGTTTAATAGTACTATGTATTTAATATATATATATATATATATATATATATATATATATATAAACTAGATTTGGCATTAAATGACCGACAATGGTTGATATGCCATAAAACCCAACCAACTAAACCAACCTTCTCTTTGATTGGTTACTAACCAAGCTTTTAGAATATAATCGTTCCTTATCTGGAATCTGGTCTTCAATCACCTTCCCATCGCCGTAACGTAGATTCTCTCTGCCTTTTCTAGAAATATTTTAAAGGCAATCCTTCTGATGAGCTTTCCTCTTTGTTATCTCGACTTTTTAAGCGCAGTACTAGATTGGCAGATAGGTCTAAAACTTTTTACTGTTGCAATTTCTAAATATAACCATAAGTTTTATTTTAATAGTTTCTTCTCTCGTACTTCTTGCCGATGAAAATCTCTTCCAGCGACTTGCTTTCGTGTCAACTACGATCTTCAAAAATTTAAATGCAACGTTTATCGCCATCTGTCCGCTTAAATCCTGTTCTTTTCAATGTCCTTTCTTCTCGGTGTCTTTTCTGTTTCCTTCACTCTTTAGTAACTAGTCTTGCTTTGGGTGAAATGATTTTAAAAAATATTATAGAGCTCCGTCTATGCTACTGTTTAATCCATAGCTGGGATAAAAATGGTGGGTTCATATCTTTTATCAAAGATTAGTAGAATGAAAGTAAAGGAAACTGATTAAGGTGAAATTTGAACTCTGCTCGCCGACTCCAAATTCTATCCCAATAACAGTTACACGATCTGAACTACACGATTCGTAGAATAAAGCTAACGGTTTTTTTTTAATGGAAGGCGATTATAAATGTTTGAAAGTGTTCATCTTTCTCGCAGAAAATAATATGTTAATGGAGAATTTCATTTTCTTTTTTTCTTTGTATTTTTTCTTTGTAGAAAGATCTTCATGGACAGACTGTGAAGCATTCTTAGATAGTATTCTGATGCAGACACTAAACTCTAAAAATCCATAGGAATATTGTTTACTCAATGGCAAGTCTTGTTACAAAGAGAACGCTGATCCTGGTTTTTAACTGCGAATTTAATCTAATTTAATCTAGTAAGTATCAATTATTTTCTGGCTTGTAAAAAATGAATCATGATCTGTCTTTATTTCTGAGATGAAGTATTGTAACTATTTACACTAATCGGGCTCTTGTGCTCATCTTTGTGATATTTACAACGCTTCGGCCTTCTTCAGGTGATATTAGTTGGAATTACGAACCGAACCCTTTATTTTGTCCTCGTGAGTAGATTGTTCTAGTTCCACGTACCACGCCTTTTCTGGATATCTCAGTTTCAGTTAATTGCTTTTAGTAACTATATACCTAGACACAGTAGAGGCGAACAAAAACTTGGAGAATTGAGCTACACAAAGGGAATTATCCAGAAAAGGCATGGCACGTGGAAATTTGAAGAATCTAACACCGTGGACTACATAAGTTTCGGTTCGAATTTTCCGACGTATATCACCCGAAGAAGACCAGAGCGTAAAACGGCTGAAACGTTGTGAATGACATTAAAGATGAAGATAACAATGTAAATAGTGTATACGAATCAGGATTTTGTAATAAAATATCTCATCAAACCACAGAATATTAACTTGGCTTCGACTCAGATAAAAAAATATGCAAATTTTCGATGCTCTGAATGTTATTGTCTTATGATTTTTTTTTTACTCAGGTAGCCGAAGATACCAACCAATTTTGAAAGCATCCAATCTTTGGTCATGACTCATTTTGTAGGTGTATCCGTATATCGTTGTCTCATCAGCATAGATATTTACAAATGATCGGAATATACTCTTAGGCTTTGGTTTAGCGGTTTATCAAACTCTGTGGCTTATTTAATGCCGAAATCTAAATATTTTATACGCAAGTTTATTTTATTTTTGAGATAATAATGGTTTTAGTGATACAAAATATCATATGGATTAATGTCATAAAAGTTTTTTCATGTTGGTTTGTTGATTTTGTTTAGCGACATATCAACTTCTATGGTTTATTTAATGCTGAAATTTAAATATTTTGAACACAATTTTATAGATTCAACTAAATATATTTTAAACACAATTGTATGTATTCAACTACAGATAAAAATAATTGCTGGTCATTTTGCTTTTAAAATGTATTGTTGGTAAATTTACTGATAATTTTACTATAAATCGGTATTGTTGGTAATTTTACTATATATTTGTGTTGTTGGTAATTTTACTATATCTCTGGGTTGTTGGTAATTTTTGTGTAAAATGTTTTTATATTTTCATAGATTTTTTTTTGCGGGGGGGGTCACTATTTGCCCATTGCTGGAGCCCTAACAGGTGCTACCACCCCGGCTCAGGGTGGACATGAGAATAGTAATTAAGTGGTTCCATGCTCCTAAAAACTGCCAAGCTCCTGATCAGCGGCTTTGCTTCCGGATATATTTTATTGACATACCCTGGACTAATACTCTTAGGCAGATCATTTATGTAAAGTAAAACGATGGTTATTCTGAGAAGTGACGCCTGCGTTGATTGCTAGGTCCCAATAACAGCTAGACGACCTAAACTGCACATCTCGTATCTTCATGCTAAATGGTAACTACAAGGAATACACACTCCTCCTCATTTTTGCTTTATCTC